ACTGCTATTTACTCCAATTTGCTGGGCATTCCAAGACATTTCCTCTCATTTAAACTCAGGAAGAAACAACACTGGGAACAGAGTCTTCCTAGGTTGAAACACACCAATGGGAGCTTGGGAGGGGAGAAAAAAGGTAGTTATCTATCCCCTATGGACAATTAGGCCATACCCATTTACATTAATGCCATCAGAGCCCTAGCAGATCTTTTGAATAGTCATGGAAGCCTGGGCCACTGCTGCTCATTTCCGTGGGGAATGAACAGGGAAAGACGGTCTCAAGGCAACACCAGAGAGAAATAACAATAGAACTATTTTAATAGCCTTCCAATCTATCTTCTCACTGCTTCCTCACGCAGTCCGTAATCCCAGGCTAGAGCCACCACCCCCACACACAGGGACTCACGAGAGCCTTAGTCTCCCCACACTTCCCTCTTACTCCTCCAGTTTCTTCAGAGTTGATCTTGGGTGAAGGAGTCAACAGCTGGGACTAGTTTGGTAGGAAATGCAAACTGGCCTAGAAACTATTTTCTTTATCAATGGTGTAGAACTTTTGTTCAATTTCAACCACTCATAATCCAGTTCAGAAATGAGACGCAAGGAGCACCTGGGTGGCTCAGTCGGCTGCATGTCTGCCTTCAGCTCAGGTCATGATCTTGGAGTCTGGGATTGAGCCCCGCATTGAGTCTGCTTCTCCCTCTGACCCTCCCCATCTTATGCTCTCTCTCTCTCACTCTCCATCTCTCAAATAAAGTCTTAAAAAAAAAAAAAAAGAAATGTGACGCAAAATGAAAGGTTAAAATTTGTTAGTACAATATCGTATTACCATAAAATTTACCCTGAGACATCTAGTTTAGAGAGTAATGATAAGTACTTCCTAATTCTTTCACGGACACATAACAACCCTATCTTCATACCTTTGAAAACACATTTTATTTATTTTTTCTAACTTGTCATTAACCATGATTTATAAAGCATTGTGTATAAACTTTTGGATAAATAAAAAAAAAATCCTACTATAGTTCCTCTGCTCACCAACATTTTTAACCTCTAAGTGTCTTTAAGCACCACGATCCCCAGTCCTCTACTGCAGATCTAGACTATGGCAGGCACTCTCAAACACACATGTACAACTATTAGCCTCAAGCCAATCCAAAACTATGCAGAAATAGAGAAGTTAGCAGATAGGATGCATTTTCAACAATAGGCAAGAAATCGAATGGACCTAACAAGTGAGGTGGGGAGGAAGAGAAAGAATCGGTGGACAGTTGATAAGACTTGGTTAATAAAGGAATTTGGTTGTTCCCTATAAGGGTATCAAAAAAGCTAATTCAACCCTAAATTTCATTGAGGAATACAATATCTAGTACCAAGGAGGTAATGTTTTTTTTATCTATTCTGTACTGGCAAGATGATATCAATAATAATTTTCAGTTCTCAACAACGCACCACATGCTCTGGAGGTCAAAATCTTTTCCATTTTTGCCAATATAATGGTTGGGAAAAATGATATCTTTTAAATTTGTATTTTTCTCACTACTAGTATGACTGACTATCTGCCAATAAAGAAATGCAAACAGCTAATAAACTCTTCTTTCTGAGCTGCCTGTTCATATTCTTTATCAATTTTCCTCAGGTTATTTCTTTTTTTATCATCAGTTTCCAGAAACTCTCTGTATTTTCAGGATTCTCACCCTTTCTCGGTTAGGCATTACAACTATTTTCACTTAGCCTATCATTTGCATTTAGCTTTTATTTACAGGGGCTCTTCTACATAACTTAAAAAAAAAATGTACGTAGTCAACATTTGTTGGTTTTTGCTTGACATGTTCTTTCCTGTTCTGTCTTTTCCAGCACAGATAATACAAACATTAAACTCACATATTCTTCATTTTTTCATATTTTGACCAACTTTATTTTCTCCTACTTGAAAATCTATTGGACCAATACCCTTTAAGTTAAAGTAAGCTTTTTCCCTCTGAACTGAATTGCCACTTTGATAGTATTTTAAGTTCCATAATTACTTGTAACACCTGGATTTTTTTTTTATAATTTTTTTATTGTTATGTTAATCACCATATATTACATCATTAGTTTTTGATGCAGTGTTCCATGATTCATTGTTTGTTCATAACACCCAGTGCACCATGCAAAACGTGCCCTCCTCAATACCCATCACCAGGCTAACCCATCCCCCCACCCCCCTACCCTCTAGAACCCTCAGTTTTTCAGAGTCCATCATCTCTCATGGTTCGTCTCCCCCTCTGACATACTCCCCTTTTCTTCCTCTCCTGTTATCTTCTTCTTTTCCTTTTTTCTTAAAATATGTTGCGTTGTTTCAGAAGTACAGATCTGTGATTCAACAGTCTTGCACAATTCACAGCGCTCACCGTAGCACATACCCTCCCCAATGTCTATCACCCAGCCATCCCATCCCTCCCACCCCCAACCACTCCAGTAACACTCAGTTTGTTTCCTGAGATTAAGAATTCCTCATATCAGTGAGGTCATGTGATACATGTCTTTCTCTGATTGACTTATTTCACTCAGCATAACACCCTCCAGTTCCATCCACGTCGTTGCAAATGGCAAGATCTCATTCCTTTTGATGGCTGCATAATATTCCATTGTGTATATATACCACAACTTCTTTATCCATTCATCTGTCGATGGGCATCTTGGCTCTTTCCACAGTTTGGCTATTGTGGACATTGCTGCTATAAACATTGGGGTACATGTACCCCTTCGGGTCCCTACATTTGTATCTTTGTGGTAAATACCCAGTAGTGCAATTGCTGGATCGAACGTGTAACACCTGGATTTTATTCCTTTTGGTTGCCTACTCTTGGGCCAATACCATGCTGTTTAATTAGAGAAGGTCTGTGGTAATTTTTAATATCTAGGTTTCCTTACTCTTATTCTTTCCTCAGTTTTCCAGAATGTACTCATTTATTTTTTTTTAAAGATTTTATTTATTTATTTGAGAGAGAGAGAGAATGAGAGATAGAGAGCACGAGAGGGAAGAAGGTCAGAGGGAGAAGCAGACTCCTCGCTGAGCAGGGAGCCCGATGTGGGACTCGATCCCGGGACTCCAGGATCACGACCTGAGCCGAAGGCAGTCGCTTAACCAACTGAGCCACCCAGGCACCCCCAGAATGTACTCATTTAAAGGGCACTTTCTCTAGGGACAGATAAGATGGAACTAGGTACAAACTGTAAGATGTATGTATTATCTTACAACTAAAAAAAATGTAGTTAATAAGTGAATAGAAGAGTTTTAATTCAATTCCATACAATAAATAAAAGTTAAAAAGCAGAAAACAATCACATGGACAAATGCAACTGACACATATGGCAGAAATTATACCTCACATTTGAGGTTAATAACAAGGCACTTTACAGTGGAGGAAACTGAGGTACAGGTAGGAAATGGAAGACAGTGTTAGGCCAAGAATCTGACTAATGGTAAAAACAAAAAGAGAAAACATCTAGTAAGGGAGGAACAGGGACCAAATAAGATGGAGTTCACTAATATTTTACCTGTATGATCCCACCCACACAAAGGTAAAGAAATAAACTGGATAAACAGATAAGCAAAACAGAAATAGAAACTGATCATTCTACAACTGGTAACAGCCAACCGTCCACCTAGCCAAGAATAATGGTTCAGTGTAGGTGAGGCAACAGTTATGCAACTAACTGTAACAGTTCTAGTCTAAGGCTTTTCTTTTGATTTTCAGAGATTATGAATCCATTCACAAATAGCAATAGAGAACATAAACATTCTGTGCTTTTGCCAGCATAGAAGGACCCCAAGCAGTCTATTTCCCAATTCCTATCAAAAACAAATTTGAGGGGCACCTGACTGGCTCAGTCAGTGCAGCATGCAATTCTTGATCTCAGGGTCGTGAGTTCAAGCCCCATGTTGGGTGTAGAGATTACCGAAAATAAACAAACTTAAAATATATATATTGTATATAAAACAAAACAAATTTGAGTCCTCTGGTGACTACTGGAGGTATAAATGTGGCTATCATACTTCCTACTCAAGCCCACCAGTGAGCCAAGAGAAACAAACTTTCATAAAAATATGAAATAACCCTAAACCACAGATCAGAAAGTATTCTATCAAATATAATACAATTTGAGACAAGGTAATAATGAGTATCATGAGCCAAAATATACCTCTACATATCCAAGCAATGTTGGATTTTTCTAAAAGTTAACAGAAAAGGTCTTAAAATTTTTAGTTGAAACAAAGATAAAATGAGGGTGTAGACAAATTATAGGAGAGAGAGCAAATATTCCTCTGAGGGTACATTTCAATATGGAGGAAGGGCAAGGGACATGGAGATAAAGAAGAGATTATGCCATGTTCATTTTCTCTGACTTCTAAATCAGAGAGCCTGTAAGGGAAGATGCTGTGATGACCAACATCAGTTGAACGGAAAGAAATAAATCATCAAATCATCAAAGAGATGACCATGTTACACTGAGAGACACAGCGCATTCCGTCCTGGGTGATCTATTCTCCAGAAAGGAGGGAACACCAGTGCTTAGGAGATAAAAGATTCTAGGTCAGAGTATAAGAAGTCTCTGTGAGACAAGAAAAGTGAGCTGAACTTCCAGATGCCCCAGAACACAGCCTTCCCCATACTATACTGCAGATAATATCAATATCACTGGGCTCTTATCATATTCTAGTCACATATTCTCGGAGTTTACAAATATTAACTCTTTTAAATCCTTAAAACAACCTCAATGAGGTAAGTACTCTTGTTATCTCCATTTACAGAGGAGGTAAATGAGGGTCAGAGAGGTTAAGTAAATTTCCTATAGTTACATAGCTAGGAAATATAAGGCCCAGAATTGAACCTAAGCAAACTGGCATAAAGCTCAGGGTTTTAACTATTATGCTGTACTGTCTCTTCTACTCTAATGTTAAACAATTAGCAAACCCATAAAGTACACAGAATTTATTTATACAGGAAATATTTACATACCTTGTACTGTAAACTCTGCTTGAGCTTCAATTGTCTCATTTCCATTATCAGCTATACAAAAGTAAGTCCCCGCATCATCCTCAGTAACATCACTGATCTCCAGACTACCACCTGCCAGCAACACCAATTTTTCAGAGCTGCATAAAAAAATATTGACACATTTCAGAACTAGGAAAATAATAAATACCTGAGAAACTCTCTACATAAAACAGAGAAAACACTTAAAAAGCATTATTATTTATATGGCTATAGAGAGACTAACAAAATTAGCAGAATTTAATTTAGTCCAATTACTCTGCTCATATTTTACATGCATAAATATCACAAACACGAACCTAAATGTTACAATGAATTATCTCTAACACTTATTTTTTCTGAAAGAGAGAGAAAGAGCATGAAGCTTGGGGTTGGGAGGGGCAGGGGAGAGAGAGAATCTGAAGCAGGTTCCACACCCAGCGCACAGCTCAAATCAGGTCTTGATCTCACAATCCTGAGATCATGACCTGAGCCGAAATCAAGAGTCAGATGCTTAACCAACTGAGCCACCCAGGTGCCCCTATCTCTGAACACGTCTAATTATTCTCAAAGGTATACTACTTTTGTAACCAATTCCACTCCCCACAACCCATCCCTGCCTTCCAACTCTGCCCAGTTTTTCTGCACATGATCTAATTCTGAATTCTGGAATCAATCTGACATTGATTCAGGTACGCCAAATTGAGAGGACAACTGGAGAAGGTAAAATGTCAGATAAGAAATACAAAGTCGTGGGGCCATGATGCCTACTGAAAGTTTCCTGTGGTGGCTTGGCTAGGAAAGGGAGGAAAAGGGACAGGGAAGGGAGAGAACACGGTTGCCAGAGAGCAACCTGGATGTGGTTACCAGGTAAGAACCTGCTATCATGCCATCATCAAGGACACTGACCACTATAACCCAAATCTATACCGTGATTTAAACCTTTTAAGGAGAATATTTAAAGAAAAAGTAAGTGATCTTATAACATCGAGGGAAAAAATCACAAATCAATATTCTCATCAAGTTTTTATAAAGCGCAGAGGTTTAGTTGATTTGGAGTTTGTGGAGTTATAATTTTATTTTTATTTTGAGGTTCTATGTCTAAACTGGTTTTCATAGGCAGATTTTTCTCTCAAATCTTAAGACTGTCACATTTCCTATCTGTAACTATGCTCAACAAAAAATATGGCTTTTCACAGAGAATTTCTGATGGGGAAAAAAGAGAGGAAATGACCATTCAGTCTGTGCCACATTTATAATTCTCATGCTAAGTAAAGAGCTATTCTAGGTTAAATTTCAGTACACTGTGAACCTGAGTAATTAAGCTTCCTGAATCTGATAAACAAGATTAAGTTTCTGTACAAAGAAAGAGGAAAACCAGAATCAGGTTTGGTGGCTTCTCTATGAAATACCCTGCAAGATCATGACTCAACTTTATCAAGTGGCCTTCTAACTTGAAACATCTCTATTAGACCTCAAATCCCAATTTAATGTGATGAGATAAGAGAAGCAGTAAACATATCATGGAACAGAGCAAGAACTACTTGGATAAAACAGAGAGATAAGACAGGGTTTCCATGCCTCACAAAATAAGAAAAATTTACAAAATTTAAAATCCTCTATTTCACCCTTAGACAAAATTACTACTAATCTTCAAAAGTGGAAAACAATGCTCACGAGTGGAAAATCAGCAATATATACGTATGATACCCAGCTGAAGGGAAGATAATTTGAAATACTAGTTGGTATGGTACTTTTGAACTGAGATACAGTAATTCCTACTTAATAATTATACTAAAAAATATTCCTGATACTTGCTTGCCTCCTATTTGCCATAATTGAGTGCCAGTACAGAAGTCAATCTTTCTTAATGGAATTGATTTTCCTCCCTTAAAGGAAGCCTGGGAGGAAGAATGGCTGTTAGCTTGGCAGAATTCATTTAACTTGTTCACATGATGATGTGAGAGCTTATAGTAAGATGGCAATCGAGTCTTTAGAACTCCAAAATTCAAAGATGTAAGCAAAAGGAACAGTGTGTGAAAAGTAAGCATGGTCATTGGACCCAAGTTAGGTTGAGTTTTGCTGGGCAAAGGAAATTGTGTGTGTGTTGCTGGGGAGTCAGGGCTCAGTCTAGGAGATGGTGCAAAGGAGACTTTTTGTTTGTTTGTTTTGCCAAGGGAAAGGCCTTGAAGGAGATGAATCACACGATTCAGTGAAGGACAAGAGGAATGGGAAAAAGACTAGAAGCAGAAAGTCTGATTGTGAAATTACTGTAATGGTCCAGAACTAAAGAGAAAAAGATGAACTCTGGCAATAACAGAGATAAAAAGAAGGCAAAAAGTATTTTTTGAGGGAGAGACAACTCTTAAAAACAATGGATGATGAAGGTAAGGAGAGGGATTTATCCACTCAGCAAATATTTATTGGTGCACCTCTATGTGTCAGACAGCAGCTGGGGATGCAGCAGTGAGCAAAAACATAGCCAGTGCTCCCATGCAACTCAGTGGGAAAGACACACATGAAAGACGGTAATTCCACAAAATGCTATACCAGAAGAACCTACCAGGAAATTAGAAATGAAATTTTTCTGACCAAAGTAACCCTTGAACAGAGATCTGAAGAGTGAGAAGGAGCTAACTAATAATGAGAAGGAGAAAAAGATTTCAGAAAGAAAGACTAGCATATTCAAGGGAACAGTGGCAGAAAGGACCACAGTGTGTTTCCGGATCTGAAAATAACCAGTGTGGCCAAGTTTAAGAGAGAGAAAGATGAGGATGGAGCCAGACCACACAAGGTTTTAAAAGTCATTTTAATAATCTGAATCCTTAACCTAAAAATAATGAAATCCATTAAGCATTTTTAAAAGTGGGGAGAGGGTTGACAATTATGTCATGAGATCTGAGCTTTGAAAAGATCACTCTGGCAGGAATGTGAGGATGTATCTAGAATGAAGCCAGAGTAAGTATGGGAAGAAAAGGAGAGTCCTGTGGTAACAGGTTAACAGCTGACAGCAGCTTGGAATAAGGTGGTTTTCAGAGATAGTTAGGAGGTTCCATGACAGATGTAGATGGATTAGATAGAGAAGCTGAGGAAGAAACACATGTCAAGGAAGATTCTTAAGGTTAGGGTAGTATGTGTGAAGGGGAAAACAAAAGGAAATTTACTTGTTTAATTTAGTTTCTGCGTGTTGTTACTTGAGTGAGAGAAAGGTAAGCCTTTTTATAGGCAAAAAGAGAAGGAGCCAATGGAGAGGAAAAAAATTGAGAAGATTCATAAAAGTGATGGAGAAAATGGAAAGTAGTAAGATTTAGAGCACAAAAGGACATCTCTTCTTTTAAAACAGTAGGAAAGGAAGGGAACAATATTTATTCTCTTGTTTTTTTTTTCCACTAAACTTTTTATTATGAGGTAACTGCAGTTTTAAGAAATAATACAGAGAGGGGACGCCTGTATGGCTCAGTCATTTAAGCGTCTGCCAGGTCTGCTCAGGTCATGATTCCAGGGTCCTGAGATCAGGCCCCACTTTGGGGCTCCCTGCTCGGCGGGGAGCCTGCTTCTCCCTCTGCCTGCCGCTCCCCCTGACTGTGCTCTCTCTCTCTTGCTCGCCCTCTGACAAATAAATAAAAATCTTTAAAAAAAATTTAAAAAGAAATAAAAAGAATACAGAGATGTATTGTATGTACATCTTTACCAGTGGTAACCTCATAGAGTACAACATCACAACAAGAATACTGACATTTCCGAAGGGGGGGAAATCGGAGGGGGAGACGAACCACGAGAGACGATGGACTCTGAGAAACAAACTGAGATCCTAGAGGGGAGGGGGTGGGGGATGGGTTAGCCTGGTGACAGGTATTAAAGAGGGCACGTTCTGCGTGGAGCACCCGGTGTTATGCACAAACAATGAATCATGGAACACTACATCAAAAGCTAATGATGTAATGTACGGTGATTAACATAACAATAAAAAATTTTAAAAAAGAATACTGACATTTCCATCACAAGGATCCCTCCTACGGCCCTTTTACAGCCACACCCTCTTTCTTCCTCCTCCCACCTCTTCATTAACCCCCAGCAACCACTAATCTGTTCTCCATTTCAGTAATTTTGTCATTTCAAGAAGAATATTATATAAATAAAATCATACAGTATATAATCTTTGGGGCTTGGCTTTCTTCACTCAGCGTAATTCTCCAAAGATTCATCCAGGTTGCTGCAAATATCAATAGTTCCTTCCTTTTATTGCTTAGCAGGAATTCCACAGTATGGATATACCTTAGTTTATTTAACCATTTGCTCAATCAAGGACATCTGGGCTGTTTCTAGTTTGGGGCTGTTAAGAAGAAAGCTGCTGTGAATACAGATATGCAGACTTGTGTGTGAACATGAAGTTCATTTCTACAGGACAAATGCCCAAAAGTGTTAATGTTAGGTCATACGGTAGTTGCAACATGTTAAGTTTTTAAAGAAACTGCCAGTTCTGTGGAGTGACTGTACCATTTTCACCTTCCAGCCAGCAATGTCAGAGTGATCGCATTTCCCCACATCCTTAACAGCATTTGATGCTGTCAATTTTTACAAAGTGTAGCTATTCTGATAGGTACATAGCAATATCTTACTGTGATTTTAATTTGCATTTCCCTCATGGCTAACAATGTTAAACAACTTTTCTTGTGCTTATTTGCCATCTTCATCTTTTCCAGTAAAACATTTATTCATGTCTTTTGCCTATTTCTGATTGGATTATGTGCTTTTCTACTGTTGAGTTTTGAAAGATTATACATTTTACATACACTTGTTGAAGATGTGGTTTGCAAATATTTTCTTCCACTCTGTAGTTATCTTTTCATCCTCTAAAAGGGTCTGTCACAGAGCAAAAGTTTTCAATTCTGATGAAATCCAATTTTCAACTTTTCCTTTTATGGATTGTGCTTGCGGTGTCAAGTCTAACAACTCTTTGCCTAGCCCTAGATCCTGGTATTCTCCCATATTTCTTTTCTCAAATTTCATTTTGCATTTTACATTTAGGTCCATGAGTTAATTTTTTATATGACGTGTGAGACATAGGTTGAGAGGGGTGAACAACTGCTCTAGCAGCATTTGTTAAAAATGCTATCTTTCC